TTTTTTTCTGCATTCACACACAGAAGTAGGTAAGCATTATGTTTGCAAAGAATAGTTCACTTTAGGAAAAGCTCAAGAAATGATAATCAATGAACAAAGTCAGATATATACATAAATAGTATAATTTTAGTTTTTTTTAAAAATTAAAGGTACAAATAAGGACAGAAAAATAAAGTACTCAACAGTAGCTTCCGATCAGCTACTGTTGCTAGCTACTGGGGACACAGAGGTGAACAAGACAGACACATTTGACTTTTATATTCTCATCATAAGTAGGATAGACATTAAATAAACTTATAAAGTAAAAATAATTTCACCTAGTGAAAAATGGTAGGAAAAAATAAAGATCAATGTGATGGAGATTATTGAGGAAGGCTAAAAGTGATGGGCTCTCTGAAGACCTTGCACTTAAGCTGGAATCCAAATTAAAAATAAATAAATACATAAATACATAAATAAATAAGAGCCAGTGTGAGGGTTCCTGGAAGCGCAGCAAGAACAAAGTCCTCAAAACAAAACAAAACAAAACAAAAAAGAAAACAAAAAAAAAAACTTGGTGTTTACTGGGAACAGAAAAAAAATCAGTATGTCTGGAGTTGTGTGGTTGTATGATAGAGTATAAGACATGGCCTATGCCCTCAAACAGCTCACAGGCATGGGAGAGACAGACACATAAACAAATTATTACATATATTATGATAAACACTGGGACAGAGACAAGTACAAAGTGCTATGAATACCCAGTAAGGGAGAAGAGTCACTCAGTTCTGGAAGCTGAGAAGACGTGAGAAGAAGAGAGGAAAATTTCTGAAAATCACTGACATGCTGCTTCTCCTGTGGTCTCTAGTCTGGGACCATGATAAGTGATGAATCTTCCAGCTCTACATAGAAACAATATTGTGTCTTTGAAGGAAACCCTAGAGATCAGAGACTTGACACTGGAACGTTCTCTACTTTCAGATGATAACTGTGCTCACTCTCCTAGAGTTCCTATAGGGTACAAAACAATTTTGGCCCATGGGAACATTCTTCTTTCCCTTAGCCATCAAATCTGAATGGCAAAATGAGCCACCCGAGACAGGTTAGGGGTGAGTAGACAAAGAGTGAGTAATAGAGTGGTAGCAATGAAAGGCATTGCTGAAAAAAGAAAGGGCAAAATATGCAAACTTTACATTGCTATGTAAAGGACAATGGCAAGTATACCATATCATAGGGGAGCATGAGAACTATGTTACAGTGGAAGGGGTGTGTGTGTGTGTGTGTGGACCCGCATGCATGGTGTTGGGAAACAAAGTTGAAAGGTCAAGTTAGGACCAGCTTGTGAAAGGTCTTCAATGATTTTCCTGGGACTTCATGCTTGATCCTATTGGTCATGAAGCATCATCATGTTGAATACAAGAGACGCAAGATCCATTGTGTATTTTAGAGAAGCTCTGAATGCAGTTTGGAATATTTATGGGGGATTAACCAGGAGGTTGGAGGGTCAGTTGGGAAATGACAAGTCACTGATGCAAGAAATGGTGAGGCACTAATGAGGACAGCAGCAGTTGAAAAAGAGAGGCAGGTTAAAGATTTAAAGAAATTATGGACAGCATAACCGAAAGAATGTGGGGATTACTTGGGTAGGAAGGATAAGAAGAGCAAAGGGTCAAGGATATCTCCAGGTTTAGCAAGGATGCCTGAGTGTCTGGCTATGCTGCTAGCCACTGTATGGAACACAGAGAGGGGAGGCTATTGGGAAGAGGGTGTGGTTGGATACGTATTCTGTATTGACTGAGTTTGAGATGCCTGCAGAGCAGTCGGAGGAGGTGAAAATCCAGGAATGGAGTTCAGGAAAGAGGTGGAAGTTAGATACCAAAAAACCCCACAAGGTAAAGAAGTTGAAACCAGGAAAGCTGATGAAATAATTATAGCGTTTGATCCAGCCATTAGCTGTCACTCAGGTCATATGGGAAACTTTGAATAATAGGGAAAAATATCCTTTGCCAGAAGATGGAAACAATCCCCAAGATCCCAGAACTACAACCATCTGAATTCTTCGGCTATGTACTTGGCAGGCGCTGAACAACAGCATCCACAGAGAAAACATATTTCATCTTGTAGATTCGAGTTTCCTTGCCCAAAATTCTTAGTTTGGATACAAAGACTATATGATATCTGACATATGGTTGGTTTAGGAATTTTTGTTTTTTTCAATAATGTGATCAGATTTGCATATGATCCATTTGATCACTTACACAATCAATTGTAAGTTTAGTAAATATTTGACAAAAATCTAGAAGGCTTACATACACAAGTTAAATGGACTACGAATGTGGACTTGGAAACAGATGCACAGATTCTTTCTGAGTTTTCTTTCAGGGCTCCTTCAGTTCTCTATCTCTCTTGGGAAAATCAGTTTTTGACTCTGTAATTCAATGTGAAATTCCTCTGTGGTTTGTTTTGGTGCCTTCATAAATGTAAGGGGGTGTGAAAATGTCAGACTAGCCATTGCAAAGTAGTCTCCGTGGTACTTACCAAGACCCAGTGAATCGTTTTGGTCAGTTTGATTTTTCTGTGGTCTTATAGATCTATTCATTATTTAATTTCCCAACGTTTGACACTTCATAAGGCAAGCAGAATTTGACATGGTTTAAACATTTGATTCATCTAAAGTGTCTAAAGACTGTTCTTACTTATAATGACAAAGTCTATATTTTCTCGACTGAAAATGATTGATGTGCTTTTGCTTTATTTGCAAAATGATATCAGAGTGTCTATCCATGGCAGAAAGCTGTAAGTTGATAAGGTTTCTTTTTATTAGTAATTATTTTCAAAATCATTAAAGTAATGAATACTTAAGACTTTCAAACTATCAAAAATATAAAAGCTAAAAAAACAGAAAAGGTGGGAACATCTATAATTATCAGAAACTTGGGGATCATTTTGTAGGTTTACCAGCACTTGTAAGGGTATGGATACCATTTATAAAAGAAGTGACAAACTAACCTCATGGTTTGCTCCCTTAGTTTTACCTAACAAAATATTGAAGTGATGTTCCTTATCAGAACTTATGCATCTACTTTATCCCCTGAAAGAGCTATGAAGTATTATGTAGTATGGTTATTTCATAATCTAATAATGATCCTATGAATGGAGAGTATGGTGTTTCTATAGAAAATATTGCTTTGAATGGTCTCATACACACATTTTTGTGCACATTATCTGTGGGATACTTCCTTGAAAGTTGAGTTGCTGGGTCAGATGACAAATGTATTTTTAATACTGAGTGATACTGCCAAATCATCTTCCAAAAGAGTTAGACCAATTTAAATCCTCACTAGCGATGAGTAAGAATTCCTGCTTCCCTTGAGCCCCTCTAATGCAGCATCCTAAAACATTTTTGAATCTTTGCCAACCTGATAATTGAAAAATGGTATCTTGTGGTTTTGTCTGCATTTGAAAAATGGTATGTCATTGTGGTTTGATTTGCATTTCCTTGACTATTCCTTTTGCATTGAATCATATATCTTTTGCTTATTTTTCCAAAGGATTTTTTTTCTTATTTGTAAGAACTATTTATTCATTAAGAAAACTAATGTTTTCTTACTTTTGTCGCAGAGTATTTACCCAGTTCATCGTTCAATTTTTGAATCCACTTATGGTATTTTTATAATGCTAAAAATATTTAATTTTACAAGTTGAAATTTATTAATTGCCTATGGTTTCTAGTTTCGTACCTTGCTTTGAAAACATTCTCATCATTGCAATTATTTTTTTTAACTTTTGATGTTTAATTCTTTGATCCATCTTGAAATGTTTTGGACCTAAGGATTGAGGTAGGTATTCAATTTGATATTTTAAAAACCTTAAACCACTTATAATACTTTATCACCTCCCACTCATGACTTATCATATATCAAAATCTTCAGTACTTCACTCTATTTTTTTTACCTTATTCTGTTCCATTTTTCTACCTGACAGAATTGAATTCTCTTGGTTGTTGTAGCCCTGTGATTTATTTAAATATAACTAAATGTCTTTCTAATTTTTTTGTTAGTTTTAATATTTGGCAGGTATTCTTTCATGCTTATTTTGTCATAAAATCTTTAGAATTAACATGGGCAGTCATTACAAATTAAAATCTTATTGCTGTCATTGTGTTAAATTTATAGGAGAAATTAATACTTTTTAAAATACCAAGGCATCTAACCACTTCCCAATAGAAATATAACCTTCAGTTTGTCAAATTATTCACTGATGGTCCTCAAAAACCATTTTGAAGTTTTCTTTACATGGATCTTGTGCATTTACTAAGTTTATTCCTGTGTATTTTATGGTTCTAGTTAATTTCACAATGGAAATCTCTCCTTTTAATACATATCTTATGTAATGTTTATCAATAGAAAGCATTGATTTTGGCATTATTTTAGATTATCATTTTTAATAATAATATGCTTTCCTTGGATTATCAAGACTCAATCTTCTATAATTAAATGATAAATTTGACTCTTCTAACTTCTATACCTCTCATTTCTCTTGTATAACTGCACTGACACATTTCCCCAGAAAAGAGAATCATAGTGATGTATCTCTGACACCTTCAGCCGTTCAGAAACTTTAAACCTTTACATAGGAAAATCTGTACATCTCTTCTCTCAGAGCTTCCAGGTTTCATGTCTTGCTTTGGAAGGTCTTTCCCATTCCCCAAATGCTAAAGACATATCCTGTATTTTCTTCTAATATTTTATAGTTTTCACTTTTATATTTAGTTCTTTTAATCCATCTGGAATTTATTTCTATATATTGCGTGAGATAAAAATCTAACTTTATTTTTTCCAGATGGTTCACAAAATTCCCCAACATCATTTATAAAATTGGTCAGTCTTTCCTCACTAGTTCGAAATGCCACTTTAGTCACATTCTAAATAGATCTGTTTTTTAAAATCAAAGCCTAAAAACGAAATGAAACAAATGACAGTAGAGAACAAAGACATGCAGACAAAAAACAGACATCAAGATAACGTTGTACACAAACTCTTTAATGTATATAATAAAATACAAAGGCCATTCATATCAAATAGTATAAATATAATTAATTCAGAAAAAAATTCTTACAAAATATTCTAGAAAGAATGACTTGGAGGATGGACACACATAAAATATAAGGTTGCAGCAGTTGATTATTCGAGCATTATTTAAAGTTCCTCTCATCATATGGAATGTTATTTAAAGCTCATGCCATAAATGTCCTCCAGCTGCCTTGCCTTACCCCCAAATCAGATATTTGAGAGAGTGGATCAAAATGGTCACTAAGTAAAAAGAAATTAGTAAAAAACAAAATGAAAACAAAAAACATAATAGTCTCTTCCTATAATTCAAGATTTTTTAAAAAATGTACATCTTTAAGGCTCTGTAACATGTTTCAGCATTTCACTTGCCCAGTGCCAAAGTAGAGCAAAAGTGGATGGATGGATGGATGGATGGATGGATGGATAGACGCTGGGCCTTCTGCAATTCCGTCTTTTAACAGGAGAATGCATTAAGAATCATTGAAATTTAGTGTCAGAGGGAATAGAAGTAGGTGTTAGACTCTGAAACTTGGGAGGAAACCTAAACCATGTGCCCCTACAATGCATGCCTTTCCAGGGCTTTCTATTAAATCACAGAATCACAACTAATATTTCAATTGTGAATTCCAATGCTTCTTGGCTGTGTCTTTCTGATCTTATAAGACCTGAAGTGCTGCCACATGTTAATGGAAGCACTGCAAGTCCAACTGGTAACTTTGTGTAAGAGTCTTCATTTTGGAAGATTACATACAATGTTAGTGGCCCATACACATTTTTATTTTCTTATGTTATCAGTTCAGTCTTAAATAAAAGTTCACAGAATAATAAAAGATAAAGACAGTTTATGTATCTTGCAACGTGAAGTCATGTCCTTTGGGACTCCACTAGTAAGGGTAAAAAGAAAACCCAAGAGGTTGTTGTATGTTTCCATGCAGCATCATTAAAACGTGTACAACTGTGTTTCCTCACCAGTAGAAGGATATATTTTTAGGAAGGACATTTGATGGAACTTTCATCAAGCAGTTAGGTAACAACTACCAACAATAACAACAGCACTGCCAACGAGCCACTGTCTCTCGTGGCTGGGGATTGGCATGTTGTGTGTCTGTAAGGCACGGTAGGGAGGTATGTCTGGCAGCACATGGTACAGATGATCTGAACAGTTATCTGATCACACATACCACAGAAGCAAGTCCCAGGATGTCAGTATGTGCCTGTAACTTCTGCTCTCGCCACTTTATGGAAAATGCTGGGCTTTTTTCAAACACTACAATGCTTAGCAATCTATAATAAAAACAGACAATTAACTGAGCACAAATTTAACACTTTTCATCATCAGGGGTCCAGGGAATATAACCTGGATTTAGGTTTTGATTTTAAATAAGCTAAATGACTATAGATTTTTTTTTGCGTGTGTGCTATAAAAATAGTTTGAGAGAGTAGAGATACCGGCAGTAAGTTAATAAATGCTGCCCTGTGCAGATTTTCCTGGAAAACGTTGTAGTGTGTGTGTCTATTTCTGCCACTATTCATTGGCTGAGATGGTCCCCCGTGCTCTTTGCCTTTCCGGCATGCTAAATAAAGCCAGACTCTGGACTTCCCATTTCCCAGGCCTTTGGAGGAGTGCTAATTACAAAATACTTTACTTAAACACTAGGAACTCATTCACGAAGCCAAGCCAAGTCTCAGATTTGAAAGCATTTAAAAATATCCTTGCAACAGCCGTACTACTTTATAGTTTATCTATTTTTAGATGCTCAGTGTTTGTTTTGCTGGAAGAAAAAAATTAAAACATGAAAAGTATGCCATGAGCAAATCTGCAATAATAAGCAGCACATACATGTTGTGGAGGAAAACATTCAACATAAAATAGTCAACAGAAAAACAGATTCTGCTGAGGCGTTTTTATAAATAGTAGCACTTATTATTTTGCTTCCAATTGCTAAGCGTCTTAAATAACATGCCCTTAAAAGTTGTCAAGTTCTTTACTTTATATAAATATAATTTCCTGATCTTAGCGTTCGTAAAATTATTATGAAAATTATAAATGTATTCCACTTGTCTCATGTGCAATTTTACAATCATCATATGGTTAAAATTAGAAACACGAGGAAGAAAAGGAAGAAATAGAAACATGCCATCAGGCACTGAAAAAGCCATGGAGTGGAAAAAATTAATTTCTCTGTATGAAAATAGAACTTGCCTAAAAAACTTTTTATCAGATAGTTTGAACAGATATCATGTCACACAGATTTAATAGATAAAATTGTCCGATTGCATGTCGAAGGGTCACGCTCAATTCCAGGGCATCCTCAGTCTTAATCTTTCATGCCCCTTTGGATCCGTCAGCATAAGAACAAGCTGGAATTAGGCTTTGAATCCTAAAAGAACAGTTCTGGAACTGCTTGCCTCAAATGTAATCACTACTATAGAGTCAGGGAGATTTTCACATTGTATCTTTAAAAGCAAAAATCATTTTAAAATGGTCCGAATGACCTCCATCTGGAAAGTACAGAGGTGTGGGAGGGGAAAGTATGGCTATTTCCACACCGGGGAAGTGAAGTCAGTGCAGGGAAGGAAAGCCAATGGCCTGCTTTCCACCCCACCGTGGTGGACTCTGTGCCCTGTCACCGCTCAAGGGCTGTCGGGCAGATGCCAGCCTCCGACCCTGACACCTTCCTGGACACGGAAGGCCAGGCCGGCTCGGGTAGTGGCAGTTCAGAGGAGTCCCACCAAGTGGGGGCGGACTCCAGAAACTACGGTAACCCCGAAAGGGCCTGAAACACCTTTACCTCCTGCTTCGGGGCATCGAGTCACACCATCCGACTTGGCGATACAGACGATGGTAGAGTTAAGAGAAATACTGACGAACGCCGCAAATCGTGTTTCAGAGTGGAAACTGTGACTTTGCTAGCATTACCAGTATTTCCTGCCTCACAACCTCACAAATGGCTTGCTGTGAAGTTTGCAGCGCCGGGGCCAAGAGCAATAACATTTCTGTAGGAGCATATGCGCCAGGACGGACGACCGCATGAGCCCGGAAAAATGATTTTCCCGGGAAGGCCTGTGCAGCCATGTGGAGGCCTCGCAGTGCTATGGACGCCGGGCAGAGATTTTCACTGCTTCCAGCTCACAGTGAGGTAATTTTAAAAGCACTTTTCCCTTCATTTGTTCTGCATTCACTGAATGTACATTTTTTTGATGTCAGGGACATTGCAGAAAAGATCAGATGAGATAGTCTGACAATGGAGCCAAGGTTCAAAGCTTCTCTATTTTCAGGTAACAGCCGTGACAGTTTGTCTGCACTAAATCTTTTGAGGGCATGTCACTGTGACCCTGTCCATAGCTTTTCAAACGGTTCAAGACAAACAAATCACTTAGTCGTTGAACAACTGTAACATCTGATACTATCGCACAGGAGTTGTGGCGATGGCCACTAATCAAAGTTTTTTCCATTCAGTTGAAGGAAGAAAATTCCTCAGCTTTGGTTTAAGATCACTTTTTATGCTGTGTTCTTTTGAAAACTATGATATGCTAGAGATAAAAAAAAAAAAAAAAAAAGGAGGGGGGAGAGGAGGTTGTGTCTGTAGGAAGCAAAGAGTCAAATGTTCTAGCTCCCTGCTGCTGTCAGTGAGGAGCTACGGTGTGAGGGGAGAGTCCTCGCGGGTGACCGGCAAGGCCTGCAAAGGGACATCCATGCTCCCCTTAGAGTCACTCTCCGTGTCTCCAGGTGAGAGCCCCCTCACGACTGGTTCACACGGGCAGTGGTGCTTTGCCTTCAGGCTTCCCGGTGGGCTTCGCAAGGCAGCCCGGACATCCATCCCCAGCACCACCAGTCGGTAGAGTTGTAACACCACCACCAGGAAGTTCTTTGCCGCAAAGAACACCAGCATCTGGTTTATCACTCTGAAGTAGGTCATCAATACGAGACGCACGACAAGGAAAGGGCCGTCTTGTATGAAGATGCTGATTCCAATGTTCCACAGGTCGGCGCTGTATTGGCAAAAGAAGAGGCTGAGGAACCCCTTCATTGCCACGGACAAGGGGCAGACGACATGCTGCACTGAGAACACAGACAGACCAATTAGCGAACCTCTGAGATGTGAAAGACAGAATGAAAAGGGGAAAGGTCATCAACAGTGGGTGCTGTGGTACTGCTTAATTAACAACAGGGGGTGATTCTATAATTTAATTTGGGGGGCAGGAGACAGGTGAAACCACCCTTCACATTTAACACCACCCTTAGCCACCCCTTCACTTCACATCCTTGGCCATTGTATATTTAAAATCAAGATTCTACTATAAGTTCAGTAAAAGACACCAAAAAAAAAAAAACAGCCCTGGGGTTTCCTTCCATGTCACAAGTTTTAAGTCACCTTCTAGTCCCCACCCTGGGGAAAGCATGATCAACTCAGCTAGAGAGAATAAAGAAACAGAGAAACCACTGTGTCTGTCCTTGGGGTCTGCAGGGTACAGAGACAGCACAGCACGGCACTCAAGGCCTTGACTCAGGTAGCCTGGCTGCCTCATTTTTTCTAGCAAGATGCTAGCAAGTTATTTCACCTCCTTGGGCCCCAGTGTTTTCCTTTGAGAGCTGAGGTAACAGTGATGTCTGTGAGGAGAGGGGCCCCAATTCACTGTATCTTTTTGTTTCCATTAGAGTCATAAACCCTGGCTCCTCTCTGATTTCTCACTTCTCTCTTTCCCTTGGGATACTGAATGACTTACGTGACTGCTGAGTTTGGGAGATGGAACAGTATAAATATATGGCCCAGATCCTTCTGTATCCTCCCTTCGGGACCTACCTGTTTCCTGGTTGACTCACTCAGCCATACGTGCAAATTATGTTGTGGAAATTCAAGTGTTTACAATTCAAATTCAAACTTAATTCACGTTAAATATTTTTCTAATGGTAGGGGGACAAAAGCCCAAATAACTGCCATTGTTGCTTTATTTTGTCTAACGCCTTACGGTTTTATCTCACAGTTTATAAGAAACACTGGATATAATTATCGATTTTCCAGTTGAACAAAAGGAGGCCCAATCAACAAACTTTTTGTTTTAATTTCTAAAGTGCTAATTTAATTCAAGGTCAAGGGCATAAAATAATCTTTTATAATAATGAAGCCTTCCATTTGGAATTTTCAAACAAAGGATGCCTTCGTCTACTGGAGCCTGCAAATATTATGAAGCTGCTTTGATATGGGTGAACATAATGTACCGTTTGTTGGAAAATACAATAGCGATTTAGTCAGAAGTAACATTTGGTCTTTGTTTTTCAAACAGCTGCATAACATTATCACCCCTGAAAGTTTACAAAATTTCTTTCTCAAATAAAAATTTTCTTAGCAAGGCTATAAACCACAAGATATGGGAGGGTGAAGATCAGCAGAGTGAGTGACAAGAGTAAAACCAACATATGATCAATAGTGGCTTCTCTTTCTCTCTCTCTCTCTTTAAGATTTATTTATTTATATGAGAAAGAGAGATCAGCGGGTAGAGGAGGGAGTTGGTGAGAAATCTCAAGCATACTCCTTGCTAAACACAGAGCCTGACATGGGGCTCGATCCCACAACGCTGAGATCATGATTTGATCCGAAACCAGGAGTCAGCCACTTAACCAACTGAGCCATCCAGGCACCTCAGTAGTGGCCTCTCCTAAGAAGTTAGGGTCAGGAAATGGTTCCAAGGGGACCACCTGAGAGTGTTCTTCAATATCTAAAGTGATGGCAACCAATATTCTGTTAGGAGACACTACCTGATCAATAGGTATAGATTGGGCACATTACGACAAGATCTATATGTGTATGTGTGGGGTGTGTGTGTGTGTGTGTTATTGGCATACATTTGTTTGTAATTATTAACTAGTAATTAGATTTGGGGTATTTCTAAAAAGCCACAGCCACTCTTTCCATCTATTCTGGTGACAGTTTTGTTTCAGAAAGTATCCGCTAAATTCTAAAATTGCCTCTGAAAGCTCTGGACCTATTAAAGCAAACCAAAAAAAAAAAAAAGATGCAGAAAAAATTAAATATCCCTATTATAGATTAATTCTAATTCTGATGCCATCGGGTGGGGTGCCATAGAAAGAAGTCAGGTGTAAGGAATATGTAATTATTAGATCCTGGAATTTCTTCAGAGTAAAGTGGCATCCTGGAGAATTCTCAAATAAGAATTCTAGGGATCTTTCCTAGAAGTTAAAGGATAACTCCAGATCCATGCTGTCCAATTTAACCTTCTGTGAGGTAAAAACATTCTGCCTAATGCACTGCCTCTTACAGCAGCCATTTGTGGCAGTTAAATACTTGAATTGTGGTTAGTGTGACTGAGGAACTGAAGTTTTCATTTTCTTTAATTTTAATTAATTTAAATTTAAATAGCCACATGTGACTAGTGATTTCTGTATTGGACAGTGCAGCTCTAGATCATCACTAGTATGATATGCTTGGACAACAGTTTCTTCTTACAAAGTCTTCAGAGTTTATGTATTTATTAAAATAAGATCAATGGAATTGGAAGGGCCACTACCTTGAGGAAAATTGTAATTTTCCATGTGGCTTCAAAACTGTTCTTACTCCCTGAGATGTTCTAATATACAGATCTGACAAAAGACTGAAAATGAGCCCTGAAAATATCAGGAGGTCACATTTGTATCCCAGCACTGTGCTAATTTTGCACGCTCTATCTCATTTGGTCATCACAAGAACCCTTAACTGTAGCCACTATGATTATTAGTTCCATTTCATTGGTAAAAAATTGAGGCACAAAGGTCTTAACTAATTTGCAGGAGATTTTACAACTCATACATGATTTGAAGTGAATGTAAAACTGTGCTCCAGTACATTCAACTATCTCAGACTCACCATGTCCCAGAATGAATCCACTAGTGGCTTTCCTAAGTTTCAGTCGACTTTTCTTCTAAACTGAACTGGAACTAACATTGGAATATCAAAATGATAAAAATGATAATCCTCTCAAATGCTTCCTTAGCTTGATTATAGTTTATAATCAAGAGTTATAATTTTCTGTTTTTTTGAACAAACATCGAGACATTTACCTGCTAGGTCAAGTGGAAATTGCAGCATGCTCCAGGTCCATATAACAAGTATGGCATAGACAAGGGCAGGACTATTCCTAGAATGCAGTTAGAATTTTAAATTAGTAATAAAAATATGATAATTTTTTAAAGAAATATTTTCTTTTTTCTCATATTTGAGTACACCATAATAAATCTCTTAAGATTATATACATTGGTGATAGAAGAAACCCATGAAAAAATCCATTCATGATTATAATGGAATAATAAAGAAGTAAAAAAATAAAAATCCAAGACTTAAAATCCAACTTCCACATGTGCCAGCATCTGTAAATTATGGCAAAGCCTCTTTATCCCATTTTGTTGTCTTTAGTTTTACAAAATCATGGAAACATTATTGGAGATAAATGCTAGGAAAAATTCAGAGGGTTGATTTCAAGAATTTTCAAGGAGAAAAAGTGAAAACTTTTTTTCTAAGATCAGGAAACCCTAACTTAGAAACTATGTCACAAAAGGACTAGATGATGCTCAACAATGAAAAGTTTAGCATGTAAAAGAAAATTATCTTCAGTTAGGAAAAACAGTGGGAGCTAAATCCAACAATCAAAAATTTACACCATTTACTAGGATATAAGTCAAGAAATATGACAGCTTCATTCACTATTGTATCCCCAGTGCCTAGAACAAATAATAGACACTCAACAAATATTTGTGGAAGGAATTACTGGATGTATGAAAGAAGGGCCTGTACTTGGCAAATATACGAATATGCAAATGTCATCTACCTAGGAGAATGGTCTTGAAGACTAAAGTCAGATAAAATAGATGTTATAAAAATAGAAAGGATATTAAAGAAATATCATAGTTAATATTTTAAAGCAAAAACACAAAGGAAGGGGATCCCTGGGTGGCGCAGCGGTTTAGCGCCTGCCTTTGGCCCAGGGCGTGATCCTGGAGACCCGGGATCGAATCCCATGTCGGGCTCCCGGTGCATGGAGCCTGCTTCTCCCTCTGCCTGTGTCTCTGCCTCTCTCTCTCTCTCTCTCTCTCTCTCTCTCTCTCTGTGTGTGTGTGACTATCATAAATAAATAAAAAAAAATAAAAAAACACAAAGGAAGTTATCAATTTGAGATTAATGGCATAATAGCAGATTTTACTGGCAATTTCTCCATCAAGAGGTATTTTCAGATTGAAGTGGGACAGAAAGGAATCAGGGAAGAGTAGTTGAAACCAAAATAAATGAGATGGTTTTAAGAGATATCTTTAAATGCTTCAAGTATGAGGCCCTGAAAAATTGTATCTCAAAAACTATGAGGGAAATTGTAAGCAATGTTTCTAAGCCATCATTATCTTGGGAGTTAATGGTAGAGACAAGTGTAGTGACAAAAAATGTCTTAATTTTCAAAATGAAGCAGAATTGTAACTTAAAGTACAAAAGGCACATTTACTATTCATCCCTAGTTAAGTTATATAAGTGATTATTTAGAATATTTCTGATAGCTCTTGTAGAAGACAATAATTACTAGGAATTAGCACAGTTTACTTGGAACAATTACACTCAGCATACTGAGATTTTCTTCTCTCTCTCTCTCTTCAATAGAGTTAGGACTATCAAGAAAGCAATGATATATAAATTAATATTAGATATTTGGGTTTAAATAAGGCTTGTGAAAAATCCTCCCACAGTATTCTTATTAGCAAGATTAAGAAATGTTCTGGGTGTAAGCACAGTTAGGTGGATTCCTAACCGTGTAAATGACTCCCCAAAGGGAGCTCTCTAAGGGTTGCTGCAGGTTCTGCCTTTGATTCTATTCTACTTCACATTTCACCAATGACTTGGTTGCCAAATTGTTGGAAGGCTTCTCATATGTACAGATGGCATGGAGGTTGGATGGGAAACCATTACCCCAGAAGAGATAATCAAGATCCCAAAAGATCTTGACAAGATGTAACCAGATGGCCTACAATAGGAGAGAAGAGGTAGTATTTCACAGAAGCTGCCATAAAAAAGGCTCAGGGATTTTCCTTTATCACTATCTAATCAGTATGACATGGATTTATGACTTTCCAAAATCAAAGGCAATCATAGGTCACTTCATAAGAAGTATAAAGTCTAGAATTTAAAGTGGAATATCTAGGGAATGCATTCTATTACTTTTCCAACTTTGCAATGTCAATGTCTATATATAATAGATCATCTATGAGTGCCTGAATTTGTAAATAATTTTACCTACAGCTTCTGAGCTCATACTCTTTCAGGAAGTTTTCTAAGGGTTAACTATGATCGCAATCCTCATACCAATTTTACAAAATAGCTACACTTATCCCTATTTGACCAGTGAAGAAACTGAAGCAGAGTTGTAGAACTCTCATCCGAAGTAATGTGGTTATAAATGTTGGAAGCAGAAATCAAAACTAGATAGCTTGTTTCAGCATTCAACCTTTTAACCACTGTACTATACTATTTCCATAAAGGAAATGGGAAGTTTTAGCCTTGCTGTATTTAACAATGTTCAGAATATATTTGACATATTATGTATTGTGCTTCATGTTAAAGGAGGAAAATTTATAAAGGTTTTGGTCCAAAGAGAGGCCAGGATGGTGAGAGATCTCAGAGCCATGGTAAATGTGGGATAGCTCAAGAAACTAAGAGAAGAGTCCCTAAAAACTTTTTTTCCACATATTTAAAAGACCATCACATGGAAAAGGCATTAAACTTATTTCTTGTGACTTCAGAGGGCCAATTCAGATTCAAAGGATTTTAGTGGTGCCTATAAGAATGCAAATTTTATCACAATAGAGAAAAGTACTCTCTAATAATATCAACTCAAAAATGGAATAAGTTGCCCCAGGGTTAGTATAGTCTCTATTAGTGAAAATTTTCAAAGAAAGTCTGGACAAAACCTTGTTGAGAAAATTCTGGAGAGGATTTTGCAACAGATGTAAAATAGATTATTCAATAGATGGCTACTTCTGAAGTTTCTTCTAATCCCAAACTTCAATATTTCAACCAAAAACTCAAGCGCAATTTGTCTGCCAGGCTGCAGAAAGCATGAGGTATGGTGTTAGGTTGCTGGAGTTCAAATACCAGCACCAACATTCACTAGAGAGACAGGATTTGGGCCTCCAATCCCAGATTGATATTTACTGACTACATGAACATGAACAAGTAATTTCACATCTATATGCTTTAGTTTACCTATCTTCAATATGAGGATACAAATAATAATAGTTACTGGATTTTATATGATAATTGTATTAGTATATTGTAAAAATAAGTTAAACATATAAAGCTCTTAGAACAGCACTTGAAACAGACTAATTATGCAAGTTAGGTGTTATTTTTTTATTACCATGTAACCTTGAGATTTTCCCAAATTCTCTTGCCTGCCACAGTTCAGCTTACAAAATGGTGATAATGATAGTCTACCTCATTATATACTGTAAAAATAACAATTTATTACAACTAAAACACTTAGAACAGTACTTGAAGCACAGCAAGAGATAAATAAACATTATCTAGTAGTAGTAGCAAGCTGCAGCAGCACCAGGAATGATAGCAGTAGTATTTTTATTATGAGCACATATTTCTTAAACTCTGTGTTTTAATTCTATCACTATACAAAATAAGGATAAATAATAAACCCTAGTGCTAAGAAAGCCAAATTTTAATATTACAATAATGAACATCTATTTTTTGCATATGCAAATATTTGAACACAAACAAAATATAGGAAAATGTGAGTATTGAGAAATATATTAGTAAATTTATCAAAAAAAAAACTGGAATAAATGGCCGGAAAGTTTTTGAAGCAAACAAATTTGTACTCAGATAGTAAAAGTTATTCAGGAAGGATAAAAAGAAAGTAAATAAATCATTGAGCTTAAAGGGCAATCACTCAAAATGTGAAGGAATTCTGGAGTGAATTTATCCAACATTATCTCCATTGTGTAACTTTCTCCCCTAATTCTCTCACTACATTTTCTCATGTGTAGTGTCTTCATAAATGTCAACTGGGAAGCATGTAAGCAGACAATGAATTCTATTCATAAAGAGGCAAAAGATCTTGACAAATATAATTATACAGGTGAGTATCACTTCTCTACTTGGAAAATTAGGAGAATAAAAGATTGTAATTTGGTGTAACAGTGTACCAAATTTATTGGGTGAAAGGTAAAAATAAAGTCATAGCTAATTCGCTTAACTATTTCTTTTTGGACATGTAAATGTTCCTGTAGATAAGAGATAATCAGTGGATAGAATTCACCTACTTTTTATTTTTATTTTTTTAAAGATTTATTTATTTATTTTAGAGAGAGAGTGTGTGAGTGTAGGTGGGGGGGTGGAGAAGGAGAGGAAGAAAGAAACTCAAGCAGACTCAATGCTGACTGTAGCACCCTAATGTGGGGCTCAATCTCACAACCCCGAGATCATGACCTGAGCCCAAATCACAAGTTGGAATCATAACTGATTGCACCACCCAGACTCCCCTAATTCACCTACTTTTTAGAAAAGCATTCAACGAACCTCTTCAGAGAAGGAAAAAAAAATCAAAGAAGAGAAAAAGAAAATGAGAAAATGAAATATTAACCTAGCCTAGAAGAAAAGCAATAAAAGCTAAATGAAAAGAAAACACAGTATAAACATAGGAAAATTCCTTTGGTGGTCAAATACAATGAAATAATACTAATGTTATGAGAACATAGTAATGTTATGAGAACAGATTTTTTTCTCTTTAATAAATGATCTGTGCTCAAAAAAAAAAACCCTGCACATTAAAAATTATCTCTAAATGTGTAAATAGCCAGTTAACTCTTCCTGGCAACAATACTGAAATTCAGAGTTATTAAAAATGTTGCAGGATGGCTGTAGTAGAATGAAAACATACATACTTGACAAATTGTCAACAATAACCACTTCATATCTCTGAAAATCAAGCAAAGGCAAATAACAAATTGAGTAACATTTATTTATGAGAAACTGGTAGAACTTCAGTTAAGAAGAGTAGGAGTTTGAGACATTCTTGTCCATGGAATATTTTCACACCCCTCCAGCTTGAATATGTCAAAGAAAAATTCATCAGACAGAGTTAAATAG